TCGAATAGTTCCTGTATCAAATGAAGGCCCGCCTTCTGAAATATGAAATGTGCTGTGATTGGTTAGCTGGGCCAGTGTGTGCTGTGATTGGTTAGCTGGGCCAGTGTGTGTTGTGATTGGCAGCACTCGGCGCCTGGTCGGGAAATGTCACGCCCCTTACCATAGCCACCTGCGAGCTTCAGTGTAAATATTGCGTCAAAATCAAATCAATTTGAGCGCGATTTAAACCCAGATGATTGTTACCACTCTAAATTCGTCTGCCTTGGGAAAGCTAGTGTGTCCGACATAGTGATAACACTCGTTGCCTTCTCTAGTGCAGCTCAACCAGGTCTCGTCCCATTCGTTGATATTTGTGATATCACAAATCCCGGAAAATATGCGTTGTAGTCCAAATGAGATGTTCGTTGTAGTTTTTGAAAAGTGATTTCTGTTAAATAAAATCTCTCCTTTTGAAGTGGACTTTGAACTTTGTAACTTTGCAGATCTTTTTTATGCTCAAACAGCAACATTACAGACTAACTAAAGTTGAAAAAGTGAAAAAGCATAATAGGACCCCTTTAAAAAACCTCACACATGCAAAAATGAATGTCTTTTTTATTTATTCAGTCATTCATTCATTCATTCTTTAGTTGCAGTACAAGAAGAAAATCCATCACGATTACATTTCATTACCATCATGGTATGGTTAAAAAACTAAAAAACAAACACATTATAAAAAAAAAAATCATGTCTTTCTTTTTCTTTCTTTCTTTTTTGTTACAATACAAGAAGAAATTACTATCACATTTCTTTACCATCATTACGCAAACATTCATGTCTTTATTTATATTAATAACACAAAAAATTACATTACCATCACATTGCATTACCATCAAGCATTTTTTGTATTGCAATACAAGAAAAAAGAACATTATGCAAAAATCCTCTTGAACATTGATCAAGGCCTTGATGTGACAGTTTTACGTTCTTGAAATGTTTGAAAGAAATCATTTGTTTCAAGATTTCAAAAGTGCTTCTAATTGAGTAATCACCCGGCTATGGTTAATTTCTCACTGTGTGTCTCTAGGATGATAGAGGAGAGACGGAAGGGGAATGTCATGGCCGACAAGAAGCAGATCTTCACGGACATGAGTGAGTGCCGCCCATCCACCACATGACCTTTGACCCCTATTGCATGTGCATCTGAATATAATTGTGTGACTTTGATTCTTCAGAGACGCAGAATTATGACACCATCCAGCTGTCCACATACCGCACCGCTTGCAAGCTCAGATTCATTCAGAAGAAATGCAACCGTGAGTATCAGTCACTTTAAAACACAACTGACTAATGTTGCAAAAGATGCATTTTCAGTGTTGTTTGCGAGTTCGAAAATAAGCTCCGCATAAAGAAAAACTAGTAAGAAACATGTAACAAGATAAGCCAGAAATACACTATTGTTCAAAAGTTGGGCGTCAGTAAGATTTTTTTTTTAAGCAATGATGCATAAAATTGATCAAAAGTGACAGACATTTATAATGTTACAAAAAAATTTATATTTAAAATAAATGCTGTTCTTTTGAAGTTTCTATTCATCAAAGAACCCTAACAAAAACATTTTTTGCAACATTGATAATAATAAGAAATATTTCCTGAGCAGCAAATTGGCATATCAGAATGATTTCTGAAGGATCATGTGACACTGAAGACTGGAGTAATGATGCTGAAAATACAGCTTTGATCACAGGAATAAATTACATTTGACAATGTATTCACATAGAACACCGTTATTTTAAATGGTAATAATATATTACAATATTACTGTTTTTATTACTTGCAATATTTTTTTGTTTTTATTCACAATATTACTGTATTTTTTATCAAATAAATGCAGCCTTGGTGAGCACAAGACTTCTTTCATACACATTAAAAATCTTACTGACCCCAACATTTTTGAACGGTAATGTACATAAAAAATGACACTGGGTTCCAATTTCAGGTTTAAAAGTAAGTTCTTCGTTCTACATGTTTATTTTCATCATATTTGGAGTAATCTGGACTGACATGGTAAGTTTTATTCCCATGTAATTCCCTCTATTTCATGTGTTTTCTCTCTCAGTGCATCTGGTGGACGTGTGGAACATGATCGAGGCGTTCCGTGACAACGGTCTGAACACGCTGGACGTCTGTACCGAGATCAGCGTGGCTCGGCTGGAGACCATCATCACCTGCATCTACCAGCAGCTAAACAAACGGCTGCCCACCACACACCAGATCAACGTCCAGCACAACACCAGCCTGCTGCTCAACTTCATGGTGGCAGCACACAACAGGTGAAAGTGTGTGTGCTGTGTTTGTGAAATTTGGTCGAACTGATCAAAAAGTGACATTAAAGACATTTAGAATGTTACAAAAGTTTTCTATTTCAAATAAATGCTGTTCTTATGAACTGTCTATTCATTAAAGAATTCAGAAAAAATGTGTCATGGTTTCCACAGAAATATGAAGCAGCACAACTGTTTTTAACATTGATAATGATAATAAATTTGTGAGTTCCATTCCCAGGGAACACACGTACTGATAAAAAATGTATAGCCTGAATGCACTGTAAGTCGCTTTGGATAAAAACGTCTGCTAAATGCATAAATGTAATTTTAATGTAATTTTAATTTAAATGTTTCTTGATCAGCAAATCATCATCAGTTCATTTGACGGTGGAACTGTGTGTGTTTTGCAGTGATGCTCAGGGAAGGCTGATGGTGTTTTCAGTGAAAGTGATGCTCTCAGTGCTGTGTGGAGGGAAACTGGTTGATAAACTTCGCTGTAAGTTCATTCATCGATTTCAGCAGTGTCGCCTACTAGTGGACAAATCAAATTAAGTCAAGTCACCTTTATTTATTTAGTGCTTTATACAATACAAATTGTTTCAAAGCAGCTTCACAGTAATATAGACATGAAAATAACAGAATCACTGATGCAAACTTCTTCAGATCTTCTTCAGATATGAGACAAATTCAAGTTCTGCTCTACAGAAGACAATAGTATTCAGCTCTGGGATGATGATGATTATATGCATATCAATACTCATTAACGTGTTTCTTTGCCTATATAACACCTGTGTTTGTGTGTGTGTGTTAGATATTTTCTCTCAGATATCAGATACTCATGGTGCGATGGTGATGTCCAAGTTTGACCACTTCCTGCAGGAGGTGCTGAAGCTGCCCACTGCCGTGTTTGAGGGGCCGTCGTTCGGCTACATGCATCACTTCGCCAGATCCGGCTTTCCTCAACAAGTAACCACCTGCGAGCTTCAGTGTAAATATTGCGTCAAAATCAAATCAATTTGAGCGCGATTTAAACCCAGATGATTGTTACCACTCTAAATTCGTCTGCCTTGGGAAAGCTAGTGTGTCCGACATAGTGATAACACTCGTTGCCTTCTCTAGTGCAGCTCAACCAGGTCTCGTCCCATTCGTTGATATTTGTGATATCACAAATCCCGGAAAATATGCGTTGTAGTCCAAATGAGATGTTCGTTGTAGTTTTTGAAAAGTGATTTCTGTTAAATAAAATCTCTCCTTTTGAAGTGGACTTTGAACTTTGTAACTTTGCAGATCTTTTTTATGCTCAAACAGCAACATTACAGACTAACTAAAGTTGAAAAAGTGAAAAAGCATAATAGGACCCCTTTAAAAAACCTCACACATGCAAAAATGAATGTCTTTTTTATTTATTCAGTCATTCATTCATTGTTATTTTAGTTGCAGTACAAGAAGAAAATCCATCACGATTACATTTCATTACCATCATGGTATGGTTAAAAAACAAACTCAATTACACATTATAAAAAAAAAAATCATGTCTTTCTTTTTCTTTCTTTCTTTTTTGTTACAATACAAGAAGAAATTACTATCACATTTCTTTACCATCATTACGCAAACATTCATGTCTTTATTTATATTAATAACACAAAAAATTACATTACCATCACATTGCATTACCATCAAGCATTTTTTGTATTGCAATACAAGAAAAAAGAACATTATGCAAAAATCCTCTTGAACATTGATCAAGGCCTTGATGTGACAGTTTTACGTTCTTGAAATGTTTGAAAGAAATCATTTGTTTCAAGATTTCAAAAGTGCTTCTAATTGAGTAATCACCCGGCTATGGTTAATTTCTCACTGTGTGTCTCTAGGATGATAGAGGAGAGACGGAAGGGGAATGTCATGGCCGACAAGAAGCAGATCTTCACGGACATGAGTGAGTGCCGCCCATCCACCACATGACCTTTGACCCCTATTGCATGTGCATCTGAATATAATTGTGTGACTTTGATTCTTCAGAGACGCAGAATTATGACACCATCCAGCTGTCCACATACCGCACCGCTTGCAAGCTCAGATTCATTCAGAAGAAATGCAACCGTGAGTATCAGTCACTTTAAAACACAACTGACTAATGTTGCAAAAGATGCATTTTCAGTGTTGTTTGCGAGTTCGAAAATAAGCTCCGCATAAAGAAAAACTAGTAAGAAACATGTAACAAGATAAGCCAGAAATACACTATTGTTCAAAAGTTGGGCGTCAGTAAGATTTTTTTTTTAAGCAATGATGCATAAAATTGATCAAAAGTGACAGACATTTATAATGTTACAAAAAAATTTATATTTAAAATAAATGCTGTTCTTTTGAAGTTTCTATTCATCAAAGAACCCTAACAAAAACATTTTTTGCAACATTGATAATAATAAGAAATATTTCCTGAGCAGCAAATTGGCATATCAGAATGATTTCTGAAGGATCATGTGACACTGAAGACTGGAGTAATGATGCTGAAAATACAGCTTTGATCACAGGAATAAATTACATTTGACAATGTATTCACATAGAACACCGTTATTTTAAATGGTAATAATATATTACAATATTACTGTTTTTATTACTTGCAATATTTTTTTGTTTTTATTCACAATATTACTGTATTTTTTATCAAATAAATGCAGCCTTGGTGAGCACAAGACTTCTTTCATACACATTAAAAATCTTACTGACCCCAACATTTTTGAACGGTAATGTACATAAAAAATGACACTGGGTTCCAATTTCAGGTTTAAAAGTAAGTTCTTCGTTCTACATGTTTATTTTCATCATATTTGGAGTAATCTGGACTGACATGGTAAGTTTTATTCCCATGTAATTCCCTCTATTTCATGTGTTTTCTCTCTCAGTGCATCTGGTGGACGTGTGGAACATGATCGAGGCGTTCCGTGACAACGGTCTGAACACGCTGGACGTCTGTACCGAGATCAGCGTGGCTCGGCTGGAGACCATCATCACCTGCATCTACCAGCAGCTAAACAAACGGCTGCCCACCACACACCAGATCAACGTCCAGCACAACACCAGCCTGCTGCTCAACTTCATGGTGGCAGCACACAACAGGTGAAAGTGTGTGTGCTGTGTTTGTGAAATTTGGTCGAACTGATCAAAAAGTGACATTAAAGACATTTAGAATGTTACAAAAGTTTTCTATTTCAAATAAATGCTGTTCTTATGAACTGTCTATTCATTAAAGAATTCAGAAAAAATGTGTCATGGTTTCCACAGAAATATGAAGCAGCACAACTGTTTTTAACATTGATAATGATAATAAATTTGTGAGTTCCATTCCCAGGGAACACACGTACTGATAAAAAATGTATAGCCTGAATGCACTGTAAGTCGCTTTGGATAAAAACGTCTGCTAAATGCATAAATGTAATTTTAATGTAATTTTAATTTAAATGTTTCTTGATCAGCAAATCATCATCAGTTCATTTGACGGTGGAACTGTGTGTGTTTTGCAGTGATGCTCAGGGAAGGCTGATGGTGTTTTCAGTGAAAGTGATGCTCTCAGTGCTGTGTGGAGGGAAACTGGTTGATAAACTTCGCTGTAAGTTCATTCATCGATTTCAGCAGTGTCGCCTACTAGTGGACAAATCAAATTAAGTCAAGTCACCTTTATTTATTTAGTGCTTTATACAATACAAATTGTTTCAAAGCAGCTTCACAGTAATATAGACATGAAAATAACAGAATCACTGATGCAAACTTCTTCAGATCTTCTTCAGATATGAGACAAATTCAAGTTCTGCTCTACAGAAGACAATAGTATTCAGCTCTGGGATGATGATGATTATATGCATATCAATACTCATTAACGTGTTTCTTTGCCTATATAACACCTGTGTTTGTGTGTGTGTGTTAGATATTTTCTCTCAGATATCAGATACTCATGGTGCGATGGTGATGTCCAAGTTTGACCACTTCCTGCAGGAGGTGCTGAAGCTGCCCACTGCCGTGTTTGAGGGGCCGTCGTTCGGCTACATGCATCACTTCGCCAGATCCGGCTTTCCTCAACAAGTAACCGTTTCACACACGTTTCCACTCTTTGTCTTCTTTGTGGTGTTTGCTAAACCTTACTATGATTGCTTATATAGGGTTAGTGATCTGGACAAACCCAGAGCATTGACTGTTCGACTGCATGACCGTTCATTTGTGCTACAGAAATAATAATGAAGTAATAATACTTCAAATCATGCAGCCTGATGAAGTGATCAAACTTGCAGTTTTAACCTGGTGCAGGGTTCTCAATTATGGAAAAATCATAATCACAATTATTTTGGTCAGTATAAAGATCACAGTTATTTAAACCAATCGCTCATTGATTTTGGAAAGCCAGATCATGCATTTATTGAACTTGAATTGAACTTGATTTTTTAAATAATTGTCTTTGTAACAGTCGGTTTACTTGAACTTGAATTTCATTTATAATTTAACTGAAAAACTAATTTTAAAACGTTATAAAAATTTGATAAAAATACATTAAACAAGTCCTAAACGCTTAGAATACCTTAGCAGCCACGTAGCAACAGCGTAGTAGTGTCCTAAACACTCAGAATACCATAGCAACACCCTAGCAACCACATAGCAACAGCACAGCAGGGCCCTAAACTCTCAGAATACCTTAGCAACAACATAGCAGTGCCCAAACTCTCAGAATACCTTAGCAATAGCATAACAGTGTCCAAAACACTGGGAATACCATAGCAACAACCTAGCAAGTCCAAAATGCTCAGAATACCTTAGTAGCCATGTAGCAATAGCATAGTAGTGTCCTAAACACTCCGAATTCCATAGCAACACCCAAGCAACAGCACAGCAGTGTCCAACACACTGAGAAATACCTTAGCAACCACATAGCAACACCCTAGCAACAGCATAGCATTTCCCAAAACACTGAGAATACCTTAGCAACCACATAGCAACAGCATAGCAGTGTCCAAAATGCTCAGAATACCATAGCAACCACATAGCAACAGCATAACAGTGCTTTAAACACTCAGAATATCTTAGCAACTACACAGCAATTGCATAGCAGTGTCCTTAACACTCAGAATACCTTAGCAACCCTATAGCAAAACCCTTGACTAGTAACAGCAGGTTTTGCACAAGGAAAGCATCACTCATGTTTTGTGCCATAGTTCTGCCATCAATATGTTTTTGAGTCTGTGTGTGTGTGTGTGTGTTTAACAGAAGAAGGTGATGCTGAACATGTTTCTGGATACTCTGATGTCAGATTCTCCTCAGTGTCTCATTTGGCTTCCTCTGCTGCAACGGCTAGCAAACGTGGAGAACGGTAACACACACACTGAATAATATATGCTTAAATTATTCATATTACTCAGACTCATTTATGCTGGCATGACAGAGCTAGAATCTGCACAATTCCCTAACATTTGATACATTTTTTTAGTTTAATATTCATATATTCCAACACACTGAATCTCTCTCTTTCTCAGTCCATCATCCGGTGGCGTGTTCTTTCTGTCGGTCGGAGGGCATGGTGGGATTCCGTTATCGCTGTCAGCAGTGTTTTAATTATCAGCTGTGTCAGAACTGTTTCTGGCGAGGTCATGCAAGCGGAAACCACAACAACCAGCACGAGATGAAGGAGCATTCGTCCTGGGTGAGGATCAGCTACAGTTGTCATGTCATACGTTTTTATTTATTTGTGTGTATATATATATATATATACATACATATATATATATATATATATGTATGTATATATATATATATATATATATAAATAAAACAGTGCACTAAAAACAGTAATAATTTAGTTATGTCACTTTCCATCATCTATGAACATGGAAAACCAGGAAATATCAAGGATTTTTTATGGCAATTAATAAAAAAGAATTAAATCATGGGAGTTAATAAAATTCTAAAAGTTTTCTTTAGCAAATTAAAATTTCTACACTACCAATCAAAGGTTTGGGTTCGGTGGGATTTTTAAAAAGTCTTAAAAACTCACCAAGGCTGCATTTGTTTGATTAAAAATACAGTAAAAGTAATATTGTGAAATATGATTATGATTTAAAAGAACAGTTTTCTATTTCAGTATATCTTAAAATGTAATTTATTCCTGTGATGCAAAGCTGAATATTCAGCATCATTACTCCAGTCTTCAGTGTCACATGATCTTCAGAAATCATTCTAATATGCTGATTTGCTGCTCAAGAAACATTTCTTTTGAAAATATTTGTGCTGCTTAATATTTTTGTGAAATATTTTTTGTAACATTATAAATGTATTTACTGCCACTTTTGATCAATTTAATGCATCCTTGCTGAAAAAAATTTGTGAGTTTATTTAAAAAAAAAAAAAATTCTGACTAACCCCAAACTTTTATGGTTGTTTTCATGGTACTTTATATAGTGCAGGTTTCACACAGGCTGGAAAACCAATTGAAACTTCTACACTAAGTCTGCATTTCTTTATGCAAATGGATCTGTTAATTAATCCAAAAACAGTGCAACAAGATACAAGTGAAAACATTTAATGTCTTTTGGTTTTCAGTTTTGGTTCCATATTTGTGTGTGTTTGTTCCAGAAATCTCCAGCTAAGAAGCTGGGTCATGCCATCAGTAAATCCTTGGGCTGTGTGCCGAGCAGAGAGCCATCCCACCCTGTCTACCCAGAATACCCCGAGAAGCCCCTCAACCTCTCCAATATAGTGTAAGACAGTCTCTCTCTCTCTCTCTCTCTCACACACACACACACACACAGTCCTCTGTCTGTTGGGATTGTTTCTATTGGTTCCCAGCATCACATGATCACATTGTCTCTGTGGACACACTGATGAGGGTCAGACACGATCACTTGACAGAGACAGACAGACAGAGAAAGAGTTTGCTTTTATTATCTGCTTACAGACGAGAGGTCAGTTATGATTTTGTCTTCATTCTGGTGTCTGTTTTTCTCGATCTGTCTGTTTTACCAGGATTCCCGCTCTCGTCTCTCTCTCTGTTCTGTCTGTGTTGCTTCAGTCTCTTAGTTTTGCATGACTGACTGGTGTGTGTGTGTGTGTGTGTGTGTGTGTGTGTGTGTCAGTTGAACAGTGTAATGGTCTCGATCTGTCTGTTTTACCAGGATTCCCGCTCTCGTCTCTCTCTCTGTTCTGTCTGTGTTGCTTCAGTCTCTTAGTTTTGCATGACTGACTGGTGTGTGTGTGTGTGTGTGTGTGTGTGTCTTTGGGTCAGTTGAACAGTGTAATGTTTAATTTATTCCGAATGCGTGTGTGTGTGTGTGTGTGTGAGTGAGAGAGAGAGAGAGAAAGTATGTATAGATTGTTTTCAAGGTGTCTGAACTTTTATTTACATCAATCAAGATTTCAGGTTAAAGTGTACATGAACGTGTAATGGAAATGTGCGTTATGACTAGTTAATATTTCTTTGATGCCTTTCTCAATATGCTTTTATCACCTTTTAGTTGTTTTGTAGTTCACTACAGTGCGACAAATTAAATACAAATGAAATATGACACATTTTAAAAATTGAAGATATTCCCCGTTTCTCAATAAATGTGAAGCTATGCATGAACAATGATGAAAAACTTCAAAATGTTGGTTAATATACTTATAGACATGTATTATCTAATATTACGAAATACTACTAAATATTAAATTATGTAGGTATTACATATTACACAGCCCTGCATCTTGAAAAAATATCAGCTGATTTGCAAAAATATTGCTAATGTTAATATTACTGAATATTTCATAATTTGCTGGTGCCAAGTTCAATTATATCTTGCTATCACAGTTTTTTTTCTTTCTTTTTTCTTTTCTTTCTAAGAATGAAAAATCTTCATTCTCATTTTGTAAAAAAGATTATGTAATGGAAATTTTGAATTGATATATTTGACCTCCGCATCATTTAATTAGTTAATATTTAGTATATATGTGTGTTTGTTTCAGCAACACAAATCAGACAAATGATCATAAGCAGTCAAATGTCAAAAGTTTCTATTTTAATGACAAAAAGAAGCATTCAAAATGTATCATCTAACCTGCATTTTGCAAAGGAGTGAAAAAAATTGAACAAAGGCTGAGAATTGAACAGGTATTTGTAACCTGGCTTAGGAAATTATGTCTTTATGTCTTTATAGTGTTTTTTTCTGGTGATTAAGGGATAATACAAAACTTGTTCACCTTACAAATGGTTGTCGAAAGCAAAAAAGCTACTAAATTCATCATATTTTGTGAGAAAGTGCGACATGCTCAAGCAAAATACTATTTTTGAAATCAGCACCTCAAAATTGGTGAGAAACAAGTATTGGATTGCGAATATGATACAGGGTAGTGTTGTTTTGTTACATATAGATAACCATTTTATTGTGTCTTTTTTTCCTCTAGTCCTCCCCGTCCAATAGGAAACATGAATGAACCAGTTCTGCCCCCGTCTGCAGGCCCCAGCCCCACTAAGAGGTGAGCACCTGCTCTTCACCTTTGACCTTTCAGATGAGTCAGTTTATAGTGCTTTGTGTGAGAAGTTTTATTTAATCTGTCTGTTACGATACTCATAAATTTAGAGCTAGAACATTTAGCTAAAACTATTATTTTTAACAATATCATACTGTACATCATGTTTTGATGCCTGTAATCATGTTGTAAAATGTTTTAAAAATACAAACTATTTATTTTAATATTTAGTGTATTTTATCTTTTTTTTTTTTTTTTTATATATATATAAATCTAGTTTAGATTTATAATATCAGCCATCTATTGGTTATTGGGAGCATGAATATAATTAATAATTAATTATACGTTTAATATCAGGGCTTCCAGTGTCCAAAACTATCATTTTTACCACACGTGCTAATAGCTGGTGAAAAATTACCAGCCATAAATATTTTTTACAGGCCATGAAACTTAACATTTAAAAAAAATATATAATAATAAAACAGTGACTGCTATTACTACTTAGGGCTGAATGATGAGGAAACAACTAAAAATTGTGCTTGCAATTTTTTAAAACTCTGATACATGAATTAATAATTCACAAGGAAAACAAAATGTTTAATTTCACTTTTCAACAGCAGTGTAATAATTTGCTGGTAACACTTTACAATAAGGTTCATTAGTTAACGTTAGTTAACTACTTTAGTTAACATGAACAATACTACTACAGCATTTATTAATTATATTTAATGTTATTTTAGCATTTACTAATGCATTATTAAAATCAAAAGTTGTGATTGTTAACATTAGTTAATGCACTGTGAATTAACATGAAATAACAATGAACGACTGTATTTTCATTAACTAACATTAACAAAGATGAATAGATACTGTAATAAATGCATTGTTCATTGTTTGTTCATGTTAGTCAATACATGAACTAACATGAACTAATGGAACCTTATTGTAAAGTGTTACCATTTTACTGTTAAATATAATAAAACAAAACTGGTAGGTGTTGTTACTCGAACTCTGCTGGGGGAAAAAAAAGTAAAAAAATAAAAATAAAAAAAACTCCAAAACCATTGCATATATTGTCTTTTAAAACTATAGTATAGTTTTATATGGGAAGGCAATTTAATTAAAAAAGTGACAAAATAACAGGTTTTAACTTAAAAGCATCATTTCCAATTCATCTTTCTGTAAAATGTGTTTGCAATAGAAGATCACATCATGGTGGTTTGGCTGTAATATCATGTCTTGAATGGAAAAAAATGGTCTTTAATAAAATTGTTAAAAAACAAATTATACTTTTGCGTAGGGCTGGAGGATTTAACCTAAAAAACATATTTTAATTACATTTTCATGTGTAGTTTTTTTAAATACAGTCTACAGTATATATATTTGTACAACAACACCAACTATTATTATTATTATTTTAAGAAATGTTTATTTAGTGAAATTGTAAAAATTAAACAAATTATGTAATTAAATAACAGCCTTAATTTTGGACCCTAGGTGCATCCCTAATACAAATTAGGGACTAAGCAGTGTTAGAGTACAGCCCACTCATACAAAAACTGTTTGAAACTGTAATTTGCAATTCAATGTAATTTTGTGTTTGCGTGTGTGTAGACCGCCGACTCTAGCCACAGCTCAGCGTATGAATGAGGAACACGCTCTGATCGCGGCGTATGTGAATAAACTCCAGAGCAGCCCACGGTGAGTGTGTGTGTCAGCTGAGGTTATGTAGGGTTTTGTAAATGTAATAATGTTTTCTGTGTGTGTGTGTTTGTAGTGCGTTAGACAGTCCTAGCCGAACGGATGAAGAGCACAGACTCATCGCTCGTTACGCCTCTCGTCTGGCCACGGATCCTGGACATACAGGAGTGAGTTACACACACGTTTGCTATCTCTTTTCAAATTATGCTCACTACAGACATACAAGATGCCGCCTTGCATTAAAAAGTCTCTATTGACTTAATGAATCAATTTTACCTTTAAGTTCACCCCCAAAGAAACGTTTATGAAGCGTTAAGTCAGATTTAGCTTACTTTTTGAGACTGTTTTGTCTCCAAACTATAGCTAAGCAAATGCACGGAGTAAAACACTAATATATTTCTTTGTTCCTGCTGCTTTTGTGAATCACAGAGACCTTCAGACTTCAGCTACAACACCAACAAACAGCAGAGAGAGCTGATCATGCAGCTGGAGAACAAGAACAGGTACTCACTCACAGTTGCATATGGAGATGTTTTCATGAAGATTTACATCCAGCTTTTGGTTTTGGATTTTAGTCTCAGTGAGTGTGTAAAGGATAATTCTGTGTGTGTTTTCAGGGAGATTTTACAGGAGATCCAGCATTTGCGAGCAGAGCATGAACAGGCATGTCAGCCGACTCCAGAGAGAGTCCAACAAAACCCGACCCTGCTGGCAGAACTCAGACAGCTCAGGTACCACACACACACACACACACACACGCATGTTGGGTTTTGTGTTTTATGGGGACTTTCCATAGACAATGATTTTTATACTGTACAAACTGTATTTTGTATTCCTTAACCCTAAATGCAACCCTCACAGAAAACTTTCTGCGTTTTTACATTTAAAAAAAAACATAATTTAGTATGATTTATAAACAGTTTTCCTCATAGGGACCAAAAAAATGTCTCCACAAGGTGAAAAATTTCAGGTTTTGCTATCCTTATGGGGACCTTTGGTCCTTACAACATAGGGTTTATCCGGACCCCCCCCCCTTTTATAAATTTTTTTAAAGTATGTCTACATAGTTTTTTCTCATTTTAGTTTTAGTTTAGTTTTTTTTATTTCCTTAGCAACTGAATTGAACAAATTTTAGCATGTACTAATGTTTTTTTTCATGTAAAAATAAAGTATTTGTTCACATTAGTTAATGCACTGTGAATTAACATGAACAATTGTATTTTTATTAACTAACATTAACAAAGGTTAAAAAATGTTGTAAAAAATATATTTGTAATTGTTAGTTCATGTTAATTCCTTAACTAATGTTAACAAAAGATAACTTGTAAAATGTTACCATCCTTTTTATTTATTATTATAAAAGATGATTTACTTACAAGATTATTTACATCAAACAACTGTTGAGTAAATATCATAAAATTATTTCTCCCTCTAAGTCACTGGAAGAAAATGTGTTTTCTGCAATGACAATAAAGCATTCATACATTCATTCATTTGAATTAATGATTTAAAAAAAAACACGTGTTTGTTTCACTATAATTTGTCTAGACAGTTTTACTTTGTTTAATTTTTTTTAATTGCCAATATTCTCTTTGACTTCTCCCATTAGATTCCCATTAGACCAGTTTAACTTGTCGAAACTGTGTAAAAGTGTTTCATTTTTCTGCAAGTTTTGAGATTCACGTTTTTTAAAACATATTTGCCAAATGAATGCCAAATATGTCAAAAACCAACTTTAAGAGGCAATTTGAAGCACTTCTCACAATGTAAAAATAAATCTTCCAAAACATGTTGTGTTTTAAATCTGTAAGATGGTTTTAGTTTAGGGTTTGGGTCTAATAATCATCATCCTGTCAGAGCTCATTGTGTCTGTGAGAGGTCTAAGCTCTGTGCTTGTGTTTGTGTGTGTTTTAGGCAGAGGAAGGATGAGCTGGAGCAGAGGATGTCGTCTCTACAGGAGAGCAGGAGAGAGCTCATGGTGCAGCTGGAAGGACTCATGAAACTACTGAAGGTACACCAGACACACAGAGCAAGACGAGACAAGACAACAGGACACACTCTTTAACTACTGAGACTTTCTAGTGCATTGTAATATTTCTGCCACTGGAGGCACTGTGTGTCACTGCCACACTCTCTTTAGCGTTTAGCATCTGAGCTGCTGTCTTTTCTCACATACTTAATCTAGTTTTCCACTTTTTGTTTCTTCTCTTTACGGATTAGAGTTTATAGTGTTAATACTTGCTCTCGTCATCTGTTTTTCACTCCCTCTGTTCTTTTCCTCCATCTCTGTCCTGTTCCTGCAGGATGAGGAGCAGAGACAAGCTGTGAGTGTGTGTTCCACTCTGCATGTCAGAGAAATTACTGTGTGATTTCATAAAATGCACATTTAAAGTTCACTTACATAAATAAATATGTCGATAAATAGAACGGTTATAAGGTTCTACAGCATTGATCTCATATTGCTCTTAAAAGTTGCTAGCAAGTTTCTAAAGAATCACAATGCCATAATGTGAGTTTACATGCCTCACAAATTAAACAATCATGTATGTATTGTAACTAAGGCTTTTATAAATCATAGTTGCTTCAAAATTCACACTTGACTTGACCGAGTGTAATTTATCTTTAAATTACAGATATTGTTTTATCCATAAATTAAAATTTACTATTGTCAAAATCCACAGGAAATTCTGGGCTGGCCTAAAAATGTAGGCCTTACTTAAAGGGGGCATATGATGCGATTTCAAGTTTTCCTTTCTCTTTGGAGTGTTACAAGCTGATTGTGCATAGATAAGATCCCTGAAGTTGCAAAGACTAAAGTCTCAAAACCAAATTTTCTTTTTTTAATTTTTCAAAACACCTACAGTACAAACTGATCATTCATTAAAACCAAAAGAAAGCTTTTGAAACATTTTGATTATTACAGTTATTTGCATTATTAGCAGGAAGTATTCTACCATGTGTAGAGTATATTTTACATATATTTTAAGTGCATTTCATGGCAATACATGACAAAAATAACAACATCCAGTCAAACCAATGAAGTAAAATAAAACTCGGCTTATGTTCGGCAGTGTTATTATTGATAACTAAAATTAAAACATTCAAAATTGTTTAGGTTAAGTGAAATCAAGCAAAAATATAAATATTACATAAAAAATGTACTTAAAAAATTAAATTAGAAATGTTGCCTTGGCAACTAACTGAAATAAATATGTGACCCTGGACCACAAAAGCAGTGTTAAGTCGCTGGGGTATATTTGTAACAATAGCCAAAAATACATTGTATGGGTCAGAATTATTGATTTTTCTTTTATGCCAAAAATCATTAGGATATTAAGTAAAGATCATGTTCCATGAAAATATTTTGTAAATTTACTACTGTAAATATATTAAAACTTAATTTTTGATTAGTAATATGCATTGCTAAGAACTTCATTTGGACAACTTTAAAGGTGATTTTCTAAATTTTTGATTTTTTTGCACCCTCAGATTCCTGATTTTTCAGATTTTTCTCAGCCAAATATCGTCCTATTCTAGCAAACATACATAAATGGAAAGCTTATTTATTCAGCTTTCAGATGATGTATAAATCTCAATTTCGAAAAATGGACCCTTATGACTGGTTTTGTGTGTTAAAGCTGAAGTGCTAAAATTACTAAAACTATAACTGAAATAAATATAAAATTAAATATAAATATAAAAAAACTGAAATTAATAAAAATAAGAAAAGCACATAAAAATTACTAAGAATGTAACTAATAAAAATTACAACATAAAATTACTAAAATTAAAATTAAAAACTGAAAATATAAAAATAAAAGCTAATTCAAAATATTAAATTATATTATCATAGTATATAAATAATACTAAAATAACACTAATGCTCACTTATTTGTAATATTACGAGAGAAAACTATAACTAATATGATTTCCATCTTTAAAAATGGTGTTTGTAATATTTTAGCCAGTGTATTAGGACATGAATATGGGGATATGAAAATGCACTGGCTGTGTGTGTATGAGTTTCTGTGCATGTGAGAGAAATTGTTCAGTGTCTCTCGTTTGTTTATATGAAAGTTCATTTCCATTGTTTTTCATTTATTTTCATTTAGAAGTATTTATCTCTTTCTTTTCCACCCCATGTTTAACTTCCAGTGTCTGCTGTAAGTTCTCACAGAATAACAATGCATCTTTTCACGTGTTAGAAGTAGTAGAAGCTAGGGCTGTCAAAATGGCTGAAAAACTAAATTCGAATTTTGCACTTAAATATGATCAAAATTCGAATTATGTTCTAATTTAAAATGCATAATTTCAGTTAGGGTGATGAAAAGCTTTTGGCTTCTCTCCTGAGGCCACAAGAGGGCGCATCGAGCAAAATATTACATTAATTTTACATGGCTGTCTAAACATGTGGCTCTTTTGTGCGCGTTTGTGTTGCGAGTGCAACGGTGATAGATGTCCCTCTAGAAAATGCGCAAAATATGCGTTCTATGAGAACGGCTTGGTTTCAGTTTTGACGTAAACAAGATTTTCTCACCGCATTGATGTTCTCTTTTCCCGCAATATTTGTCATTAACAACACAGCAGCGCCGCATCTAGTGGCTTCAACTGGATAGGCTAAGAAAAACATTAAAATGCAATGACACTTACATCGTCATCGCATCTCGTGCGCCACTGATAAGGCTGCCTCCTTAACGCACACCTCAAATTCGAATGCAACGTTTTTGCATTCGAATGTGGCTTTTTATTTTCAATTTGACGAATATTCGAAATTCAACAAAAATGTTGACAGCCCTAGTAGCAGCACATATTTTAAGACATAAGTTTTCCATTAACAGGTGTCTTGTTTTGTTTTCAGAAATTATTTTAAATAATTAGATAATTTAAATGATCTTTGCCATTAGCTGTATTTTTCTCTCAGTCTCCCTTATTTCATGAGCTTGGCTTTCTTTATGTGAATAGCTGTTTACATGTAAACACGTAGTGAAATCTGTCAGTAGTTTTAAGCGCTGGGAGAAACGTTTAGCAGGTGTATCTTGTACAATATGAAGTTTTTATTCTCTCTCTTCAGGCTCAAGCTGCTGGCTCCTCCCCCAGCCATGCCTCCCCTCGTTCTGTGCCAATGCCCATTCGCTCTCCTTCCTCTGGCTCCACCCCCACACACGCAGGCCACACCCCCACACACGGACCCCAGGACTCTTTAGCTGGAGTGGGTGGAGATGTTCAGGAAGCATTTGCTCAGGGTAACATCTTCATTTACAACTAAATACAGAGACTATTGCGGGGGGTTTTTTCTGATGAGCAACAAGAATTTTTGTGGGCCACATGATTCAGATTGTTGGGGGATTGAACTGGGTAGCCCCGCCCATTTTGACATCTCATTAGTCTGAAATAGTCTGTATATTAAACATCAAATATGTTATTTTGGTATTATTTTGTTGTGGACAGACAAAATATTTTGAAATGTCACTTCATAAATGTTAGTTGGTGTAACAATTCAATGATTTTATCAAGTTTTTAGCCTTTATTAACTCAATAAACCTACAAAACATTGTCATAATTTGGACATTCTTTGTGTTTGGCTCCTACAGGACCTCGCAGAAACCTGCGAAATGATCTCCTGGTGGCAGCAGACTCCATCACAAACACCATGTCTTCACTGGTCAAAGAGCTCAACTCGGGTACGATCATGATGCATTGTGGGTAGTTGTGTTCTCACAGCCGTGACAGAGAAATTATGTGAGAATTTCAGGTCACCTGTTACTTGAAATAGACAAATAATCCTTGTCAATTGGACTATATTTATAATAATAAACTAGCAAAACTTCTTAAAAGTAAATACACACAAAACAATTATTTTGGACATTGTAGTGCTATGGTAACATTTGAATATAGATATGTAAATATCTTGGTATATGAATCAGGGTTATTATAGTTAAATAAATGTGAAAGCATTAAAAAATGTTTTTACTTGAAATAACTGACATAAAATATATTTAAAAATTATGTTATTTCTGCTAAATGCCCAACACATTTCTCATTCTTATTTAGTTTAACTTGATTTATTTAAATAATTAAAACTGAAATAAAAATGTATATAAAATATATAGATGTATTAAAAATTACAACAACATACAACAAAATTACTAAAAATTTAACTAAAATTAAAATGAAAGCAGAAAAATAAAAAATAAAAACGTGTAAAACCGTAATAAAAACCATGATAGTATCTTAATTATACTAAAATAATGCTGACATGATTAATTTAGTATTATTTATATACTATTATAATATTTAATAATATTTGCTTTCATTTTTATATTTCATTTCCACTTTAGTTTACATTTAAGTAAATTTGTTAGGTGCTTTTGTATTTTTTTTTTTAAAAAAATTTATATATTTATATTTTCAGCCATTTTGTTTTTTATTTTTCAGTTTCCGTAATTTTAGTCTTTCTAAATTAAACTTATTTTATTTCAGTTAGTTGCCAAGGCAACATTTCTAATGTTCATTTAATCTAATTACTATTATTATTTTTCTATTACTATTTATTTCAGCTTTATTTAAATGAATGAAAACAATTTGTATTAAATTATGAACTAAAATATTAGAGAATAAATATAAAAAAAAATTTTTTTAGTAACAACACTTAAATTGTCTCTAGACAAAAAATTGTTACAAAATTGTATTGGAGTGTATAATGATTCTTAATTTATTTATTTTTGTTTACAAACATATATATATATTCTCTTCTGTTGTCTTTAGTAGAAGATGGAGGAGAGGAGGATGAGAGACTGCTGCAGAATGGCAAAGACAGAGGTATAACCCATCACATCAGAACTACGTTTCCCAGAATGCATCTGTGTTCCTAAATGCAGACCTCTTTCAGTCGGTGTCCTTACATGAACATCAATGATTTCATGAGATTAATCCTCTCTGCACACAACAAAAGCTCATAATGTTTTACGGGGCGGGTGTGTGTGTGTGTGTGTGTGTGTTTGTGTGTCTTTCTGGCGTGTGTCTGCGCTGTCTGAGGGGGCTCGTTAATGCTTAATTTCTCGTTAGTATTAACGAGGAGGCTGTTTACGAGTGTGTGGAGGGGTGCTGGATGTTTTTTTTTAAACACTTCCAGTAGGGTCAGAGGGGTCCTGCGCACTGAACCTTTATGAGCCGAACCCGTACTAGGAAACACCTTCATTATAGCACTCGTTCTTTCTCTTTCTTTGCTGTGTTCATTCATCTCTCCATCCAGCTCCGCCGCTCATGTTTTATTGGTCTGCTTCTGATGGCCTTTCTCTGCTGGTTTCAGATGCCATCACTCAAAATTAGACTCTGAGCAGAAGTTTGCTCAAAATTGCTGTAGCTGGAATCATTTCCTGAGTGAATATTTTCTGGAGAGCAGCACTTAAAACAGGCCTCTGGTAAAATGTGCTAATGACTTATACTTACGGTATCTTGCATCAGCAGGCTCATTTCATTTTGAAAGCATTAATTTGAAATAAATGTCTCAAGACAAAAAAAAAAAGTTACAAAATTGTATTGGAGCATCTCAAGCTAAATTAATAGAGACTTTAAACTTGATATTTCTGTGAATATCTATTTTTCAATTATCAGTTGTTATTTTATACACAAACATACCATTCAAGATTTGTAATGTTTTTAAAAATGTCTCTAATGCTCACCAAGGCTGCATTTATTTGACTAAAAATACAGTAAAAATAGTAATACTGTGAAATATTATTACAATTTAAAATAGCTGTTTTCTATTTGAATATATGTTAACATGTAATTTATTCATGTGATGCAAAGCTGAATTTTCAGAATCATGACTCCAGTCTTCAGTGTCACATGATCCTTCAGAAATCATTTTAATATGTTGATTTGCTGCTCAAGAAACATTTCTGATTATTATCAATGTTGAAAACAGTTATGCTGCTTAATAGTTTTGCGGAAACCATGACACTTTTTTTTCAGGATTCTTTAAAAAGAAATAGAAGGTTTAAAAGAACAGCATTAATTTGATATAGGAATATTTTGTAAGATTATAAATATCTTTACTGTCAGTTTTGACCAATTTAATGCATCCTTGATGAATAAAAGTAATTTTATATATATATATA